CTACCAGAAATTATTTTTCATACATACGCATTTATTTCGTTCGCAACCGAATCGTTTATATCCATCACCGTTTTCTTTAAAAAAAAAAAAGAAAAAAAAACAGTAAGGGAAGTACATTTTCATGCTCTGCAATATGCAGCGTGGATTGGCTGATTTTTCCTTTTCTCGAAATAAAACCTTTATACCGCATAGGCCGAGTAAGTAAAAGATGGGAATATGGTAAGGTTGCCAAAAAGCAATCTTGACGGAAGCCGTAAAAGAGCTGGCTTCAAATAGTCCGTGTCGAGGGACCAGAACGCTTCGGTCGAGTAGGGAAGTAGGGGCGTCCGAATGAGGGGAGAGCCGAAAACGACAACAGATTAACTGAACGAAGCCAAAAACTTATTATTAGAATAATAACCAGGGAATTAAGTTTAGGCAATAAGAGAGTATGGATCCAGTTTGAGTATCGATAGAGTGTTTTTTTTTTGTTAATCTTAACTAAATTTGAAATGTAAAGAAATTTCAAACAACTGAGAAAAAAAGAAATATTCAATAAAAATATAAATTTTTGTGAATCAAAGTCTGATGCCGCTGAGCTTACCTCTGCACCAGGGAATGGGCTAAAGCGCTCACAATATATATTGCGATAAAAAAAAAAGATTAAAAACCATTTAAATCTTAACAATTATTGAACTCAAATTTTAAATGGCAACCAAATTAACATATAAGTAGCTTACACTGTTCTTTCTCATTGATCTTAAGAATGTGATCTGATATAGAGAAGTACTTTTTTTTTTTTTTCATAAATTTTCAGTCATTATCTTTTACTTTTTGTTGTCACTGTAGAGACTCGCTTTTGATAGTACGTAAGTGAATCTATAAAATCTGAATATATTAGAATAACAAATGGATGGCGATGTTTGCGGGCGCTATAAATAATAGAGAAAAACTAATGTACATATATATCATATATATATATATATATATATATCAGATTTATAAGCATTCTATCATCGTATGTTGCTGTAGTTGTTGGAAGGTCGAGCATCAATAGAAAGAAAGCATGAAAGTAATTTAATATTATGAAAGTTTCGTTCGTGATATATTCACATTGTATTTTCCCCCCTAAAAATATATAAAATAGAAGCACATTTAAAGCAATTATATGAGGATGTGAATTTATTTGCAGCAAGTGTTATATTCACTCACAATTGTCACAATTTATGTACAAGTTTTATATCTTTAAAATAAATCTTTAGAAGCTACTGTTTACTGCTTTATATAATAATGTGTGCGTGTGTATGGATGCGAATTGAAATGATTTGATGGCATTCACGAGAACTTAAACACAACAAGTCACCTACTCGACAAGTCAGATAAAGAATTCTTACAATTTAAGCTTCGTCGCGAGAGAATGAAGGAAGAAGTCGTCACACTTCAGTTAGCACTAATAATTAACGTACATAAGGTTTAAAATAAATGAAAAAGAGATTGGCTGCGGCCACTGTCGGTTAGATACGATTATCCTAAACGCAAAAGTAAATGCAAAGTTAACTTAAGGCCACTGCGGGTGACTGAAGAGTTTCATTTAAATTTATCGATGACGTATCGCTAATTTCATCAATATCGGCACAAAGTGGACGTAGTCTCCATCGGTGTGATGATCGCTTTTGACTATGCGCGCTCCTATGCTCGCCATTTTATTTCTATTAACTTGTACGCTTTTCCTGCGTGTTGTTGTTGTTACAGTTTTCTTATCTTGTTATTTAGACTTCCCTACCATGTAACTTACTCGGGTTTACTTAGATCGGTAACACATTCATTGAGAATAAGACGAGTGCGAATCCGCTGCCATGCCGGTAAGCTTCATTGTTTCACTCGGAGTGTTGTTAGCAAAAGAAGGTTCTTCATCGGTACTTTTTCAGCTTTCTTCTGATTTTGAAATTGATTTTTGGTGCACATAGGTAGTAATTATTAGTTAATGTTACGAACTTTTGGCATTGAATTAATAATAAGACCGGAGGCATGGCAGGAGAATTAGAATTTAAAAGATTTCTGATTCATTATTAAACAGTACTCTATACTACGCATTTATAGGTAGTTGTAATACTATAATCTAAGTAAAATGAAACCTATTTACTGTTTCCTCTCCCTCATATATACACTCTACACCTCCCTACGTATGCAAAACCCACAAGGCCCTAAGGTAGATTCACTTTTCATTGTACCGATCATTTCAGAATCATTTTCTAAAGCTGTCTAAGCTTGTCTATCCGTCTGTCCATACATTCCTTTGTCAATCTATAGTTAGTAACGTTTGAGATACCTTGTTAATATTTAAAACATTGACGTGTTTCGACTCATGAATGAACCCTATTGAATATTATTCGGATCGGATCACTTTTTCAGCCGTTGGCCATAGAACGCTCCATTTTAAAAGTCGATGAATGAAAAAAAAATGCAATTTTCTAAAATTCTCGACAGAGATCACTGGATACTAGCATTTTGACATTCTGTACTGCTGTAAAAAAAAAGAGAAAGTAGAGTGGTGAGTACATGTGATTCGGCCCTAGCCGAGTATAACTTTCTTACTTGTTTTTATTTTTAAAACCTTTTTGATAAACACACATAACACACACACCCGGAATAAAACCATATTCACATCCTCAATTTTTCTCGTGGAAGGAAATTTTCAAAATGTTTCCGCACATCATTTTTAACATATAACGGATACAGATCTACGATTTATTGCGCATATATATAAAGCTGTTATTTTATTACTACATATGGACTTTTCTACGCCACAAAATATATGAGAAGAGCAACGAAATTTACGAGTTTTACATAAACGTTTGAAATCGTAAGCATTATACTCTGCAAAATATTTACGGACAATTTTATGGAAACAATATGGGTGGGAATATATATATGTATGAGTATAAATTCGTTTAAAATACGAACTTTTCACTGCTTCTCTATGTAGCAATTTTTTTCTAAATTTTGCAAAAATTCTATACGCGTACGTGCTCATGTATTGTTTCATAGGTAATTATGTTCGATCTGCTTCATGATTGTTCCATTAAAATTACATATTTATATTTTATGTATGCTAATGCATATTCGATGCTTTTAATGCGAGTTTTAAATAAATTCTTATTTTTATTCAAATTTTTTTTATTTATTCTTAATCGATATTCTTATTTAATAGCATACTAAATTCTAACTTAACAACAAAGCTACCGCGCAGGTTAATCTGACTTGTTTCGCTTCTTATGCTTGAGAAAAAAAATATTTTTATTATTATTATTATAAATTAAGCCAGAGATTAAAGTCTTAATGCACTAGCATCTAAGACTTTCGGCTTTATTAAAAACTCTACCGCTACTTGAGATTTGAGCCCACGACCATTGAGTCGAGACTCTTGTCTACTCGGCCACTCAAACGGATGTTTAAAAAAAAAAAAAAAAATTCAGAATAAAAAAAAAAAAAAATTTATAAGTAATATAAATGAAGACTTCAAATCAAAAAATATTCTCCCTTCAGATTGATAGAATTATTAAAGACTATATGTTCAGCGGCTAAGTAAAGTGTTTTACATAAAGTCCTGTTTTACCTTACAATAAATATAAGTTTCCATTAAATTTCTTGATAACCTCTACTGAACCTACCCTTACGTATGTACACAACCCAATTTTTTATACCTGTTCTAGCTTCCAATGTGCCAATGGCATAAAAATATTCCTACCAAAATGGATTAACTTGATCCATAGCTGATCCATACGAATGGCCACACTTTCACGGATGAAGGTAAGACGCTGAGACATGGCACAAACATTCATAGATAGGCTAAAAAACCAAATTAAATCGGGTCCACAATGAGGAAGATCTTGAGCAAGCTCCAAAAACGTCGGCAATTTTTTCATACTTTCGTCCCAAAAGTCTGCCGCTCAGACATTCGTCAGAGTCAGCTCCGTGTTAGGTCTAAAAATAGTACCGATCTTCAGCTTAATTAACGCTCCGCCTACTTTTGCGTTCGTTCTGCATTCTTTATGACCATTTGAGTAAGTAAAACAGTATAAAATTTAATTAAACCTTTGCATATTTTTGCACTTTATTAGCACGCACAGCATTCACAATTATTTAGTAGACAGACTACACGCAAAACTTGTCTAACAAATGTGATAGAAGATCTTTCATTGCTTTGCTTTAGCAGTTTTTGCACTCATAAGCCCATTGTCCTTTAGTCTTTTCATAGGAAGGTTTTCGTAGAAGCTGTTTGACTTTTGATCGCTAGTGTACTCATTAGCACGTCCTTGGACATTGGAAATAAATTAAAAGTAAAGGAGAATTGAAAATTTATCGCAGACTGCGGTCGAATACGCAGATGGTTCTGGGTAATAAATTTTCGGAAATATTTTGAAGTGATTAACTTTTATTAACGAAAATATAACCAAAAATTATCGGGATTAATTCGAGGTCATCCCAAGTTCTTCTACATTACGGGCGTGCATGTAGAAAGGTCACAGCCTTACATTCTTAATCAATCGAGAAATATTTGTGCTAAACTTGAGCTTCCTGTCAACAGCTTTGCATCGCGTGACGCGGATTATGGAACAAATTGATTTTGATAAAAGTCTTAAAGATATATATATATACATGTATATCTCTATATATATATATGTATATATATATATATTTTCCACAACGGCTTCATATTCAAATTGAACTATTATCGGCAAAAAAGCATAAAATTATGTTAAACACAATTTGTGTTATTGTTTAGCGTTCTTTCATTTTTGTAACTGTTCGCTGTTTCTCTTGCGATAATATTTTATTTTGAAACTTTTAAAAAATACACTTTTATTTAGAATATTTTGCATATTTACGTACTTTCGCTATCGAAGCGAACTTTTGAGCGTACAGACACACATACCCACACACACACACACACACGCACATACACATACACAGGCACCCGGGCACACATAAACAGAATAAGTTAATTCAAAATAGTTTACATTTAGATGAACTTTCTTCTCATTGAGGTTCTTAGGGAAGTTTTTGTTTTTTTTTTTTTTTTTTTTTAAACATGAACACGACTTTCACTTTTCAACTTGCTTTTCTACCATTTCCATTTTTAATAGACAACCGTTACCTTTAAGGAATTCCGTGCAACTGTTCGCTGCTACATGTGTACTACATGCGTAACATCGAAGATGTCTTCTGTTTTTTAATAGCGAACTTTTTCACAAGCATAAGTATGCTAAGTTTCTCCATCCGCTTGTAACGTCCATCAATATTTATCACAAGCTCTAAAAGGATAATTGGCGGCACAGAAATAGCTACAGAAAACAAATACCATGGCAGACGCTTCTCCAGTATATAGAAGCAAAAAAAAAAAAAAGGACGGAAAGAAAAAACTTGGAAATATTGCATGCTATATATATGATATTGGTTTGAATATTTTTCAATAAAATATTCAATTCAAAAATCCTCTTTATACATATATCTATAAAGCAAGAATGTCTTCTGCTAAGGATCAAAACAAAATCTACATAAAATGTACATCTCATGTATAAGAGTGAAACTTCAAATCAACTTAGCCATGTTGCATATTCGATCTTGATTGATGGCCAAAGAGTTGTTTACTGCGAAACAGAAAATACACTCAAAAAAAAAAAGCAGAAAATAATCAACATTTTTTTCTATAATCCCGGAATTATATACAACACTAATCGATCGAAATTATTTGAAATATATTTTAGAATATATTGAAAGATGATATATAAAATATTCGTTTCATGGTAAAGTTTTTTTTTTTTTTTTTTTTTTTTTTTTAACATGTACATGACAGTAATGTTTTCATCTTAATTTCCATCAATCTCACGACTTTTATACTTAAACTTAATATTGCAAACTAATCAATTTTGTGTCAAAGAAATTTAAAAAATATCTTCCCGGTGCAGGAGGTTCTTTCGAGACAATTATTTGGAAAAGCATGTAAGCTATTACGTTTCATGCGGTCGCATGCCACACATACCTATTGAAATACATGAAATATTGATAAACATCAAATTTCATTGGATATATTTGTCGTCCTTTTAATAAAAAAAAAAACATAAATCTACTAATAGTTTATTGCTATTATTAAGCGCACATGCGCTTTATACGCATTTCCTCTCATTTGTTATTTAACAAATATATTTTGCGGAAAATCATATCCATTCATGTTTCTGTCGTCCATTCGAAGACATTTATCATATCATAGCATTTTATCTCAACACGTGCTTCCTAATCCTAGGTAATTAAGTTTCTATTAATTTCAAAAAAAAAAAGAAAATCTATATGTTTTTTCAAAACAGTCATACAAAATAGTGTATTGAAATATTAATAGTATAACGAATTGGGATTTAAGCGGCCCTCCTCCATATATGTGGTTATATAAAGGATGATTCAATTATCTGGTAATTTTTGATTACCATAGATAGAAGTCAAGCTTGTTAAACTATTGGAAAATGATAATAATTTAATGGGAAAAAGCTCGAAAATTTATAATCATAGTGCGGTCGTGTTGTTTTTACTCGCTTAAAATGCATGCACGTCGATAATTATTTTGAAAAAAAATTGCAATGTATTGGTAATATATAATAACAATAGAGCTCCATGAAGGTTGTCGACTTTTAAAAAAAATAAAATTAATTGTTTAAACTAATTCCAAATGCCATAGGAGTGGAAAAAAAAAGCGGGGAGCAATGATCGAGTACAGCAAAGTGTTGTTTTTTTTGCAAAGATAATCCACCGGATCATTCATTCTGTAAATTTTCTCATTAGCTGGTCGCAAAATCTGTTCGTTTTTTTTTTTTTCTGTTGTTAAGCTTCCTAAACGATCCGTTACGAAACGGAAAGCAACGAATACGTCGCCGGATATAAATTATTCTATGCCCACATTTTAGAACAGCATAAAAGCATTACTTACACACATAAACATACACACACGCACAAGACGTAATAGGAAAATTGTAGCACAAAAACACAACCGTAGCGAAACAATCTCTTATTTGTAATGTACTTTTCTTTGATTACTTTGCCATTCATACATTAAACTCTATTCATTACTTCGTTATTCTACTAAAAGCATATAATATACTGAATTGGCCTATTCAATATTTTGTAATGTCCATATGTAAGAAAACAAGTAATAGAACTAAATTCGGTCGAGACCGAATCTTTTATACCCATCCAAATAAAAGAAAAACATTCTCATACTTTATAATATGTAATGGGCGCCGTTGATTTCTTCCATTTGCAAAATCAACCATTTTATCGTAAAGGCATGTGGGCGTTGTAGGTGTGTCCTTTGAAAAGTTTAGATCAATTCCAAATTCTAGCAAAGTTACGCAAACAGACAGATGTACGTTTACAGCAGCCATTACTCAGACGGACAGACATATTTTTTTTTTTAATTTTCTCAATATGTATGCTGTACAACCATGGGCAGCATATTGTATTCCACAAATAATCTAATCCATATATATTGAAAATATATTATGATCCAAATCTCAATCAGAGGTGTGGCTTACTTTCGGAGCCACATAATGGATGACCTTATCTAATTAAATTTTCCACTTGCTTTAAAGAAGGGCTGTTCCTAGATAAAATTGGATTCAATAATCAAAAGAAAATTTACTTTACATTTGCTACGCCTATCCACCTACTCATTGTTATCAATTTAAAAAAAAGGAAAATCCCATGTCGAGGAGGAGAGGAAAAGTGATATATTTTTTTTTTTTTACATATAGCATTTTGCATATCCGATATTGATATGCTATTTTATTTAAAAAATCGAAACATAAGTAGAGAACAAACAAAAAGTGTAAATAAGTTTATAAGATTTTACATATTTTCGTTAGATCGATTAGGCCACGTCAAGTTCAGATTTTGGCCAAAGGTGATCTAAATTAAATTATTTGATACAAAAACAAAAAAAAAACAAAAAAAAAAGAGATTCATTTGAAATTGCTCGTGCGCGGTAATTCATTTGATGTATAAAACTTCCAATTAAAAGTTCCTTAAAGTATGCTAAAGATAAGTGGTTGAATATGTCAACAACTGCATTAGCTTTAATGAATTTTTGTCCTTGTGAGAAATTTGCGTTCACTCAACATGGATTTGCGTGAACAAGCAAAACGCAGTAAATGAAATAAGTTTTGCATACGAGAGGAAATCTTTTTTTTTTTTTTGAAAAGCTTTTAACTGATTATTTTCCGCGGTAATTTAGCAAAGATATAAAAATATATACTATCATCAATAAGGAAGAAATTAAAGAAGAAAGAAAACAATAGTAACTCATATATATATACATATATATATATATATATATTGTGTAATATCAATTGCCCTATAAAAGGACCAATTTTTAGAAAATTTCTGAGCACGAAAGTTACGAACCAAATTTCATTCATTGTTAATAATTGTTACAGAAATATGTACTCGAAACCGCCTGATAACAAAAAAATAATGCATCCAACACCGATGATTACATTTTATCTATGTATGAAAATTTTGAAATTGAAAACATTATAGCCGGTAAGGACTATTAAATAGTCTAAACTATTTTGCCTAACACTTGTTTTGATGTAAAGATGTAGTTTCCGTAGAAACTCTTCGATTTTTTTTAAATGTCGGGAGGGCTCACAATAATAACTGTCGAAACCAATCCATTATTCATAGCGTTTGCAGTTGATTCAAAGCATATCAATAAAAAAAAATTCGTCAAAATGCCGAATTGAAAACAGTCTTCTCGATTGAACACAGCCATACGTAAGCATAAGCCAATAATCAGGTAGACAGACAGACAGACAAGCACATATGGAATGTACTCCGCGGCACAAACAATGTAGGCAATATGAGAGAATTGCAGAAGATAAGAGATGTAAACGCAACAGGAAACATTGAGATTCATGCATTTGATACTCGAGTACTTCAAAGATTGCGGCGGAAGCAGCCAAGGAAGGAACATCCATTGCAAGTGATATGACATTGAATTTTTTTGATTATCACGGACTGAACTTTATCTCTCTTCCTACTATATAAAATTATCAGAGTATATTTGTAATTGAATAGAGAGAATGAAATTTAAAATTAATTTCTGTTGTGAAACCATAAAATTATGTAATCAATACAGCGTTGTGTGGCCCTTATAAATGAAGACTTGTTGTATCTTGCATGATGTAAACTCCACCAAGTTTCTCAAAAGTGGTCGTATCGTATCAATCTTCTCCCATTCCCACAACATTTTAATTTCATGTTCCTTAAGTGTAGGATACTGCATAGACTTTGACGAAAACTTGGAGAAAAGTACTCCCCAGAGGTCTCCAAGCGGGTTGAGGTCGGGACTGATGCGATTTTTACTTTAAGAATTGCACTGAGCATCTTTTCAGTTTTTGTATTAGAAATAATACAAGGAATGGAAAGAAAACGCTGCGAGAAATGGAATCCGTGTGATATTAACGTCAACACAAAGCGGCACTCTGCAGGACATATGGTATTCATGGTAGTGAGTAACTTCTTGTTGTACTTTTCAAGCAATTCCATGCCGTCTAATACGTGTAAGTATTCGTGCCGGCTAGGAAACGCATTAGTTGCAATTTTTTATTTCTTGTTGTTGTTGTTAAAAGCGCTTAGTATATCATCTCTTTTCGTTTTATCAAAAATGTTACATAATTTTGTTTTTATTTACGGTTGTATGATTTTGTTATTGATTGCATCATTTTAAATAAACAAACGTCAAATTTGTCCCTTATTTTGCCGCAACATTTTCGAAACAAAACTTCAAAAAGCCATATATGACTGACAACTAAATAGCTTTTAAGGTATGTCGTCTAAACGCGAGCTAGCTACACATAATCTTGCCTTCGTTTAGAATTCGTTTTTCAATTTACAGTTGTACTCTAACAACCAATACTAAGTCTAAAAGACGTGGCCTCACGCCTAATTTGACAGCTATGCGAGAGCGTTTCTCGCGCCGATTGTGCATAAACATAGCAAGAAAACTCGAAACTCGAAAATGAAACGTAGCTAACGCCATAGATAATTAACGCTTTTATTTCAACTTGGCTATGCTTTGTTGGTTTAATATTAATATTTTTTATCTGGTAACACTAACGTCTTGGCGAAAAAATATTACACTTACTTACCAATTGTTATTAGCGATGTCAACAAAATATTCTTTTTATTGCAAAAATTTGCTGCTTTTGCTAATAATTATTATAGGTTCAATTAAAAGCGCAAGTAAGTTAAAGAACAAAGGTACTTGATGGGGCCCTGGTTTTATGTAGTGGGCTGGATGAGATGTGATTGTCATAAAATTAAAATACAAATCAATTTGGAAACCGTTTAGCTAGCCTGCATCGCACTTTGAGATACTATGAAGTGATTCATAGAGACGCCATAGAACATCGCATAATCAAACGTGGTACTAAGTCCAGCTCTCATCCATTTAATGTTATAAAAGAGATCGAATTTAATACATTGGGAAAAAATTTTCGATTAATATTACATCCGCATCGCGAAGTCTTGCACAGTAAATTTAAAGCCTATGCTGTCGATGGTGATGGCAATGAAGCCATTGTTCATTTAGGTAAAATTTTGTAATAAAATAAATCAATTTCTACTAATAAATGATTCTGTTTGTCTAGATCATGACAACTTTTATAGTGGCCGTGTGTTTGGCGAGCTGGACTCCTCTGTCCGAGCTCATATTGAAGACGGTATCATGACCCTTTCGATTAATTTGGCTGATGAAATCTATCATATAGAGGTAAGTAATTAAATAAACTATTACAGAACAGCGTAATAGGACGCAAAGGAAAAAATTCGACTTTCGAAAATGAAGAAAGAACCCATTTAATTAAGCAGACGTGCGAATCAAAGGAACTTACTAATGCAATGGGATAGGAGTTTATGCGGAAAATAAACCCAAATCCCCGATTAAATGCACTTGTTGCAGTTGTTGCCATGGAATAGGGAAAGGAAGTGTCAGCATCCACAATAAGGATTACTCTTAAATTGACCTCTTTTAAGCCCAACACCAACGGAATAAAGTATGCCAATCCTATTATTCCGTTTTAGACATCCCGAAGAGCCAATAAAATTACAAAACAAGCAAGATTTTTAATATATGCGAAGGTGGTGAATGCAAAAGCAGTTCTTGCTGTTTGCTCTTAGGTATTTGGGTTGGGATCCGATTGCCTCTCTTCCCCCCTATGAAAATAAGTTGCTTCTGTTATCCTTACCGTCTCTCGAGAAAAGTACATTTATTCTTGGCAATTCCTTCGTAATCAAAGTAATAAATGGTACTATTGACTCGCCCGCATTACTTGGTGAGATAAGTTTTAATGTCCCTAACCGCTTCTCTAGGCACTTTATCTTGATTAAGCTTAGTCAATGTAAATATAATTATGAGCTGTTTAACCCGTCCAGAGTTGTTTGCAAGAATCGAAATGATGTCTATCACTTATTATCATTATCGGACTCTTTAAAGTCCATTAAAGCAATATTGCTTAATACGCGTGATTTAACTATGTCGTACTTAAAGTATCTCTTAACCTTAAAAAGTCATTATAAGTCGGAAATTAATTGTTGTTAACTATTATCGGTTGCCAAGCTTATGCATGTTTGCGATGGCCTAGGGGTTCATTTGCAACCGGTTGTGGGTGTGGCTCTGTGCTACTTGTACACATGTTTTTTTTTTCCTTTTTTTCCTTCTTATTTGTTTTATTATATTTGTACTAAGTTTTAATATTAATTAATTTAAGATTTACTTTGAGAGTCAATTTGCTTTAGTTGAGTTTCTTGTATAAGTATAAGTAGAATAAATAACTAAATATAACATATATCTTTTCTATGTTTTACTGTTTCCAGCCTTCATGGCGCCTTTTACCAACTGCCGTAAACCATACTATGATCTCTTATCGCGCTTCAGATGTTAAGTCAAGTTTCAAGCATCCCGGAGATGTCGATTCTCCTCTAACATGCGGTATTAAGGAGGGCGCAGGTAACGTATATCAAAGTACTTTAATTATTAAGAAAAACGAAGAACTTTAATCGCTAACAATAATAATAAAAAAGCAATAGGAAAATCGTATTCGGTTGTAACTGATGTGTGTGAATAAATCAAAATTAATAATCGATTGAAATTAATGAAAGCAAAATTTTGCTAAAATTCAAAGTTAGGGCACTTTTAAGATATCGTATTACTTGATGTAATTGTAAATATATATTTGACAGAACTTGAAATTTATGATGATGACGTCGATGAAGAGATGCAAACCTACAATTATGATATAAAAAACAATTTTTGGTCTTCCAATCAAAGTAAATCCCGTAAACGCACCAAACGCCAAACTGATCAATATGAATATACACCTACCAAGACCCGATGCCCACTTCTTCTAGTCGCGGACTATAGATTTTTTCAAGAAATGGGCGGAGGTAATACAAAGACTACTATAAATTATTTGGTAAGATGACCGTGAAATTCAATAGCAGCATGTTGAACATTTTTTTTTTTTTTTCTAAATTTAACCTCAGATCAGTCTCATCGATCGTGTTCATAAAATTTACAATGACACCGTTTGGCAAGATCGTTCGGTAAGTTCGAAAGAGAAAAAATCTTAATAATTAACCATTAATGAAAAAAAAAATTTTTTTTTAGGATCAAGAGGGTTTTAAAGGCATGGGTTTCGTTATAAAAAAAATTGTAGTACATTCTGAACCGACTCGTTTACGCGGAGGTGAAGCTCATTACAACATGATAAGAGAAAAATGGGATGTACGTAACTTATTGGAGGTAAATGTTGATCGTATCTTCTTCTTCCAATTTTATACTATGCATCAAGTGATAAACACAAATCATCATATATATTTATAATGACTTTTGAACGTATGTCTTATTTATTATGTGATTGATTATTAGGTCTTTTCACGTGAATATAGTCATAAAGATTTTTGCTTAGCACATCTATTTACGGACTTAAAATTTGAAGGTGGTATTTTAGGTTTGGCTTACGTTGGCTCACCGAGACGTAATTCCGTAGGCGGCATTTGTACACCAGGTTATATAAATAAATAATTACAATTATAATGCCTTTGTAGAATTTTATGTTGAAGCACTTTTTTTTTTTTTTTTTTGAGTTATTCTGAATCAAGAGGAATACTCCCCACCAAAATACGATCTGTTAATCCAATTGTAAGGACTTGAATAATCTCTCTATTTCTTGTCAATGTTATTTCATATGCAAATTGTTTTGTGTCCCCGTCTTATTGCGAGTATTTTTCCAAATCAAAGAATGAAAAATATGTATGCCGCGAAATATGATATTTACATTTATTCAAAAGGTGGTGGGTATTTGAAATTTTTGCCAAAAAGGCAAACAGTTTTTCTGGTATTTTCTAATTTTTTTTTTAGTTGATTTAATGATAAGTTCACGATCATTATCTTCTGATTTCTTTTGTTTAATAAACTTGAAAAAATTTCCGGAAATAAAACAAATTCGTTTGCAGCAGACGTATGCTTTTTACCGTTAGGAAATGAAATCTTTATAAATTTTTAACATAACATTTTTAATTATCTTAGAATACTTCAAAAATGGTTATACGTTATATTTGAATTCGGGTTTGAGTAGTTCCCGCAATCATTATGGCCAGCGCGTGATAACTAGAGAGGCTGATCTAGTTACTGCTCATGAATTTGGACATAATTGGGGCTCCGAACATGATCCTGATATACCCGAATGTTCACCAAGCGCATCACAAGGAGGCAGCTTTCTTATGTACACTTATAGTGTTAGCGGTTACGATGTCAATAACAAGGTAATTTCCATGCAAGTAACATATCATCAGAACATATAATATAAAATGGCATTTCATAGAAATTTTCTCCATGCTCGTTACGATCAATACGTAAAGTTCTTCAAGCCAAATCAGGTCGTTGTTTCTCTGAACCTGAAGAATCCTTTTGCGGTAATTTGCGTGTAGAAGGTGATGAACAGTGCGACGCTGGTCTTTTAGGCACTGAAGACAATGACGCTTGTTGCGACAAGAATTGCAAGCTCAGACGAAACCAAGGGGCAGTATGCAGTGATAAAAATTCACCCTGTTGTCAGAGTTGTCAATTTATGCCAGGCGGTGTTAAATGTCGTGAACAAGTCTATGCTACATGCGAGCGGGAAGCTCGTTGTACCGGCACGCATGCTGAGTGCCCAAAATCACCCGCAATGGATGACGGTACAATATGCCAAGAACGCGGCCAATGTCGGAATGGCAAATGCAGTAAGTGAAAATGGAAAAAAACTAACAGTCAGGATATAAAAAAAAAAAAAAAAAACATTTCTTTTAAAGTTCCCTACTGCGAAACACAAGGGCTACAAAGTTGCATGTGCGACATAATACAAGACGCTTGCAAAAGGTAATTGTCACATCAAAAGAAGAAAGAAAGAAGAAAGCTAAGTCTATTATTAATAACATCTTTTTTTTTTTTGGATGTTGATTCGCAATGGACCAATCGAAGAGAGTTCCTCCATGAGTCTGACTTAATGTACTGTTCCAGCTTCAAGTGCTTCGGACATAATTGCCCGACTGAACCGTCCGTGACATCTATTTCATAGTCATTATTGCAATAAAGAAGTTTTTCTTGATATAAAGGCCTTACACCGGAAAGACTGACGGTTCGTTTCGTCATAGATATCGATTCAAGGATATTCGTGAAGACTCTACATTGATTGGTAACGAAATTACGCAGAGGGATTGAATTTAACTTAACGCCTTAACTTTAGTTGACTCCCTAGCAGTATGAAAAAGAGCTCCTTCGGAGACGGGCCATTAACCATTAGGGGGTGTCGATCCAGTACGACGATTCAACATTCTATTTATCGAATGTCGGTACAAGACGTGCAATCTTAGACCAGATTAAAAATCATCGGTATATTGAGAAATATTGGTTTTGTTGTCTTGAAGGTCAAGCAACTTAGCTGTATATAGTTTGAAGAGGATGGGGCTCAAGCAATTGGTTTTGGGCTTATCTAGCCCTTACCAAAATAAATAGAAAGTTTAGTGTCCACGGATATATTTGAAGAGCGATTGGAAACTTTAAAAGAGTGAGAACATTTTCTTGCGACTATCAATAAGCAGAATACATCCAAATAAGAATCAGTACAACATAAGCGAATCAATTTTAGAATGAAATTTTATGTAAACCTGAGTAAACCCTTTCATTAAATTAATTTAATATTAATGCTTGGAATTCAATTAAAGATGCTGCCGCATGAGTATCAATGAAACTTGTTTTCCGGTGGAGCCTCCAGATGTTTTGCCCGATGGCACACCTTGCATACAAGGCTTTTGTAACAAAGTACTACTGATACCTATTAGATTTTTCGATAATACTTTTTAACTTTACACATTTTTTTAAAAAAAAAAAGGGAGTATGTGAGAAAACGATACAAGACGTAGTGGAACGCTTCTGGGATATTATCGAAGAAATTAACATAAATAGAGTTTTACGTTTTCTTAAAGACAACATTGTTAGTAAGTTTATTAAATAATTACCTAAAGATCAACAACACACCTAATTGATTGATTTTATGCCTTTTCAGTGGTTATTGTAATAATTACTTCAGTTATTTGGATCCCAGCAAGCTGTATCATTTCCTATTTTGATCGTAAGAAGCTTCGCTATGAAATGAAGCAAGTTGACTGGAGTCAGAAGCTCGATTTAATTCATCCCAGTGATCGACGTCGCGTAATACATATACGGTAAATTGATCCCTACTCGCTGTTTGTCCTCTCTAATCAATTCGAAATTTTTAGGGTACCGCGACAAAAGATGTCTATGGCGCGCACATGAAGATATTAAATTTCAAATGCATTTTAAAAATGATTTTTTCTCAATAAAAGTTATCTTAGAATAAAACGAATGCAGCGGAAAATTTATTGATGAGATTTTTGCGATTTACTGTATAGTTCTTTAACATTGTAAACTTGTGCATACAGAGTTCAGCACACATTCGAAGGATCTTCTCTTGGGACATTAAAAAATATTTTTGCAAAAAAGTGATTACGTTGTCTGAGCTGTTGTTACATATCTATCTGGAATTATTTCTTTTTGATGTTTTTACCGTTCTGTTGGGGCGGTGGCGGTTCATCGTCATCATCATCATCATCATCAATGTCATCATCATTATTCCATTCTTCGTTCATAATTTCGCTGACGACATTTTTCCCGCATATGTATACGGGGCCGCTGCCTTGTGTCAATTTAAACGTAACTGAATCACTTGGAAATTCCAAATTTGGACGCAATACACGAGTCTCGCCAGCTTTTAAAACAGCTACTGGTATTTTTAAAGTTTCTTTTTCATTTATTTTAACCTCAGCCTGGAACGTGAAACACGTTTTAAATATAGCGTGGTTTCATTTCAATTTTCATTTGCAACGTACCTGTACAACATTAAATTCGCCACTTTTGGCTTCAGCACCTAAACTTATTTGTTTAATAATTAATTGCTGTACTGTAACTTCCTTATCGGTTTCGTCCACTTCAAACTGCGCTAAAGGATCTTTGTCACTTAATTCAACACCTTGAATATAAAATAAAATCACTAATAAATAATACATAAACATATATTGGCCTCTTCTCCACCATCTTGACATTTATGTAAAAAATATACTTTTTATCGTTTACGATGTCCGATTAAAATAAATGGAAAATATATAAACATGCTTAGAAAGTATAGTTCAATATTTTGTTAAATATTTACCGTAAAAAGATTCAGTTTCCATTTTTAAATTGAAGATAAACTTTGTCGAATTTTAATATAATCTGAAAGAACTATAAACGCAGAATAAAGCAATATGTAAAATTACTGTACCGCACGTGCAGTATAGCGTTGCCATTACAACATCCAACGATTGTTGATGCAATGAAGTTTCGGTTTGCTTCCATGTCCATGGGAATAAATATTGAATATATAGTAAGCAATGTAAGGGGACTAACACAATGAGGCATTATTCCTATCTCAACTTTATCCATTCCGTCAACTGCTTGCTTACTTAATTTCTGGTTACATAAGCGAAGCTTAACAGCCATATGCCGTAGGGTGGCTGACACAATCAATCTTCGCCTCGCAAGCATTCCAGAGACATTCAATTTAAATATGTATATTATAAATCTAATTTAAATAGGGTTTAATAAATTTTTTTTTACGCCTTTTTTTTTTTTTGGTGTTGTGAGCATAGAACTCAAATGAAAAAAAAAAGTAAGTAACTAAGTAACTTCATTAAGGTTCAAACGAAGAACTTCATTTTCGCAATAAACCTTTTCTACACATCGTAGCGAATCGTGTGCTATTATTTTGTTGAAATGCAGAAGAAGAGGACAATTTTTTTTTTTTGTTTAATGCATAGATAAATGAATGGAACGAATACCTTGAAGAAAAACTGTGAACAAGTGATAGAAAATTCGGGTGAGAAGAGAAAAAAACATCTTAAAACGTATCAACGAAAATTTAACGAAAGTGCATCGGGCAGTTGGCAATCATAGTTGAAGAAATATAAATTTGTCGTCAATTTGGCAATATTGCCGTGTTATCCTATCTTTGCCGGCATCGTGTGGAATCTTTTCTTTACGATAATTCTATTTTGTGCAAATACTACGAAGAAGTGCGAATCACTTGCTTGATTTAATCTATACAAATCCAAAGAATCAACATGTCAGAAGAATCGTTTTATGGTAAATATTATTGCAGAATGTGTGCAACATAAAATGATTTAGTTATTAAATGGAAAAATAAAAATCAAATTATCTTATGATACCTGCAGTAAAATGGCGGCTTTCAATGTATATGAACTCTCTCTCTGTTAAACTATTTCATTTTACGTTGCCACAAGTAACGAAATAAAGCATTTTACTTAATCATCCATTTTTGATGCTTTTATACAGGAGTTACATTGACCGCCGAAAATAATGCTGTATCGTGGGATGTTCTTTCAAATGACGAGGATTACCCTAGAGGTCAAAAATTGATAATTAGACAAGTTTTACTGGGCGCCGAGGCTAAAGAAGATGAATTCAATGTTGTCGAGGTATGTAAAATTTCATGCGCGCCAAATTTGCTACAGGGGCTCGGAAACGCCTTTACCAATGCTTGCTTATACAAGAGAGTTAAAGTGAATTGTGGTTACGTTATATATATATATTTTTAAAGAGCTGATAAATTTTTATATGTGGAATTTTTTTTGCCCTTTCGTCGGCCACCTCTTCTTGCGCGCATTGCTTACCGCCATATGCCAAATGGTTTTTCGTTGCTTTGATTAAGGTATCTATCTACATATGTTCGCGGCCAGTCTAACAATGTACAAAAAAAAAAAAGCTGTTTTTTTATTTAATTAGGGTACAAAATGTAAATACTGGCAGTAACTCGCTAGCTTAGTTCAAGAATAATATCGCCTTGATAATTAGGTGATTCGAGCCGAAAATGAGCTTGCGCTTAGGAAGTTCGTAAATTGTATAGTGTATTTAATGCGCGCCTCGTGGATTTAAAATATTGAATGGCATTGAATTGTTTAAAAAACTATTTTATTTTGTTTCGTTAGATGGAACTATAATTTATATATGCCGATCTCTTGAAATTGGCTGAACTTGGAAATTATAATAGGAGGAGGCGCGTTTGCCCTCTCGTCCCTCTCATGTAATGTTGCATCACATTTCACTCAGTTCAATCGCGTAAGTTTTTTAAATCCTTCCGACTCTCGGCATTGTCAAAACCGACAACTATCGCAAACACTCTTGCGCGGATATGAAGCTAAAATTGCATCTACATCTCTACATATAGGTATCCAAGAACTGTGTTTGAAATTGCTGCCAGGTCTTAAGAACAAGTCGCGCATATTTGCCTTCGCCTTGTCCCAAGTTGGTCATAGCTTCCCGTTTCTCTGATTTATACTTTGTTTTTTGCATTTCACTTATCCCTCTTTTTTTTTTTTTTTTGAAAAGTCGATTGATTCCAACAGCAACTATATGAACTGATTTTTAAATCATAAAGTATATCACTAGTGGCCCGTTTTTTAAAGATATCTGCATGCGCCCGTACATAAGTGGAAATAAAAGTAACTTTTACTTGAATTTTAAATTTTATTAAATTTCTTCTACTTTAGAGATCCCTCGTTATCGCAAGTGATAAACGATGGCGATAATTTCAAATCATTGATAAGTTCCGTATATGATTTCCCATATTTAAGTAATTGATTGCCTCGAGAATGCAACCTATATATGACACCGGCTGCACAAACATTCCAATTCCAGCATACCAAACGACACTCCAGCATTGACAAATCTTTTTCCAAAGATAAAATATTCTATAGAAAATAGGAAAAATATTTTGGAAAGTGTTTGGAAATTTTCAATATAAAAACTCTCACTAGAGCTACTGAAGAATCAATAGATGAGTTATCTTGGATTTTTAAAATAATTAATTTTATTTCATTTCCCTCAGCTTGGGATGATGTAAAGTGCATAACTTGATACTTTAGGTATTCGGCAGAACTATAGCAAAGCGTTTCCATTACCTCGACTATACCAATTTGAACACAATTGATCTGTTGAAGGAAAAGTTGGAAAAAAAAAATGTGTCTGAAGCTTGTCAAGGAAGCATTGCTTACCTCTTCCTTGCTAATGATAATAATAGGTCCGGCACTTTTATACAAAATAAATGTCATATTGGCCAAAATGCCGGCGACAATCCCGTACTCTAAACTCCAAAATAAACACGCAAGTACGGTTACCAAGAAAGGCAAGAAATCTATTTCTAATGATTTCGAGAAATTAAAACTTAGATCGCTTGAATTGTGTAACTTGAAAATAATACTAATAATAATGTGATCGATCACCAGGTGATATATCGCTTTTTTCAACTTACTTTTTGATCTCCATATTTCCGCGACGCGATCGTATTCCACCATAAAAATCATGGCCCCGATTATGATGGCTGCTAATGTCGCCTTGGGTATATAATAAAAAGTCTTGGTTAAAAATGCCAAAGCCATAAGCACTAAAGTTCCTGTAACAGCACCGCCCAGTGGTGTTTTAACACCACTTGAGTTATTAATCGCAGTACGTGTAAATGAGCCGGTTATTGGCATTGACGATACAAATCCCCCCATTATGTTGCTCACACCCAATGCTATCATCTCCTGCGTAGCATCTACTAATCTACCTTTCGCTGAAGAAAGAAAAGTAAAGAAAACAATTTTCTTCGTTTAACGTTAAGACAACGTTAGATTTCCACTTACAAAACGCTTTAGCTATAGCAACACTTTCTAATATAGATATCAAGGGAATGGAAATCAATGAAGCTCCTAAATTGGACACCATCGCTTTGAAAGGTATAATTGTACCATTTACCGTTGTGCTAAACGGTGGCCATTCAAACGGCGGCAAACCTGGGGAAATCTCTCCACTCACTTTAAACGGCAATATATCATCGTTACGTAGCAGATAACATAATAAAATTCCTACTAAGACAGCCAATGCATTGCGCGATAAGGATATGTATTTGGTGAACATTTTATAGCGACGACGGCACTTTAAATCTTTCACTTTCTAAAAAGCATAAATGACTGACAAAAATTTGAATTAAATTTTATTTTTTTCGTTGCTTACCCTCATCATAAGTAGAATTATTAACGTTGTAATGCCCAGTGCGGCATCATTCATTCTTATTTCGTTTAAATGTGTAAAGAAATTATACCACGATGCGATAAATTCGTTTGACGTACCTTTGCAGATATCATCCTCAGTTGTAAAAATTGTAGTATAAAAAAAAAAAAAAAGAAAACTTTATGTTCACTTACTCCGTATACCAAATAAATTATTTATTTGACCGCTGGCTATTGTAATAGCCGCTGCCATCGTAAATCCCGTAGTCACCGGTATAGATATGAATCGTACTAATACACCCAGATTTAGAAGACCCAAGCACAATATTATGCAACCCGAGAGGAAACAGCATAAAACTGCATAATCCGGACTACCTGATACATGACTTTGTACCATCAAAGCGGTAATGGCAGTGGGACCTACAAATTTTATAT